GCAGAAAACAATGTGCAAAGAATGTCATTTACTGCTACCTCATGAGAATTTCATTTAAAACTAGAAACTGGAGCTGAACATTTAGTTTTTAAATTTTTCCATGATTGTGCTACTGTATTTTAACAAGCTCAATCTTGCCAAGAATAGAAGCCTCTTGTTTGAATGAGATTTCTGAAATCATTGCCTCTCATCATATTTTATGGTCTTTTCATTAATTCAAAGTTGTTCATTCACACTTCTCATGGTAACAAGGCCATGCGCTCTCAAGTATATGTGCATGCACAGCACTTCTAAGGAAAAAGAAAGAGGAAAAAAAACCAAAACGTGTCATCCCACCACTTTTGGACAAAGCCCATGACCAGAAACCAGGGTCTTTTCTTAGGGGGCCTTACTGTCGAATACCCTGACAAAAATCTAACAAATGCACAATTACATTTGTTATCATGCTTGGGAAATTTTCAATTATCAAATGTACTAGTATGCCAATGGTACTGCAACTACCAAACATTTACCTTTTTTCCCCTGTGCCTATAGAGAGGGGAATTCATAAATGATTAACCGCAAAGCACCTTTCAAGAGCAAAGCTACATTTGACCTGAGGACAGTACACCCCTATTTTATTATTTGTTTAGATAAAGTCAAGACTTTTCATTCCCAATCCTGTCACAATGCATACACTCTGCTTATCAAGTTTTGAGCAAACACACAAGCTGACCCCAGGAATACTATTACTAAAAAAAAAAAGGGAGTCACATCGAAGACTGATTTCCTCTTTTAAGGCTCTTAAGATTTTATCATGTTTCCAAGTTTGGGGACCAAAAACATATGATTTGACTGTTAATGCCTTCAGGCTGGACTGGCCCTGCAGTGAGCCTTGAGAAAGTGCTGTGGTTGCCACGGTTGAATGGTTTCGGTGGTCTGCACTGGTCACTTTTCAATTTACTGTCTTGGTCAAATATGGAATTCAAGCCTATAAAATTTGGCCATGAACTGCTACAACACCCTATTGTTTTACTCAGAAGGCAACAGAATTTTCTCAGTGATTGTCTTGGGGGCTTCACGATTTCATGACCTTCTCAATTTCTCATTTCTCCATGGTTACTGCACACTACCGATCTGAATTCGACATTTGTAAGATGGAAAATTTTTTAACCTTGCAATTCCATATTTCATACGATAAAGAATGATTTTGTGACGGGGGAGGGGGGTCTGGAGAAACTGAAACCATCTACAGTAGGTCTCAAACCTGGGCCCTCGCGTTCTTGAGGGTGGCGCTAGTGCCACATCATGCCTATGCCACTCTGGCATGTCAGCACCTGGTCACTGATGGTGAATTTACTAATTATATTTCCAGGGCCATCATGACATCACACTAAGGCCTTTTTTCCCTCTACTGCAAAGGGGCAACATTCCCGTCATGTTATTCGATGCTATGCAGAAATGCACTGAAGTTCCTGAATGTCCCACCAAGAGAATAGTAGTACAGGTTCAATGGGCCTATGAACAGATAAAGTGTGCCAGAACATGGCAAATATACCTGTGCACTCACATTCACGTTGTATTTTAAAGAATAATTTGTGCCAATTCTCACTACAGTATATGCCCCCTTACAATTTATTGGGACAATGGGGTAGGGGCTAATGCCCTGCAGTTTTTGTTTCACTTTTTTTTTTTAATTTCTCACAAAGTGTCTAGGCCTACTGCCCAAGTTGAAGGATTAAGAAATCAATTTGGGTCTTTGGAAATTCTTAGAAACTTAACTCTAGTGAGTAGTGGGGCCTACTCTCTGAACACGCTGAAAATACAAAGTAAGGATTGCCATTTCTTCAAGTACACACCTCGATATCTTGAACATCCTTGCTCAGAGCCATTTCATTAGTTGGTTTGACTGGTCGATCTTCACTCTTCTGTAAGACTGAAGAACGTTACTTTGGACTCCTAGTGACGGTCCTACCTACTGTTTTGGCTACTACAAAAAGTACAAATGAAGTAGTAGTGACGGTGACCAGATGCAGCTCAGGCAGACAGGTGAATTGAGTTTCGCAGAGAAGAGAACACCTTTTTTATGATATATTCAGCTCAGTGCACAAGTACACAAGGAGATAAACACTACAGTTAGACAAACCCTGGCCTAGACTGTAGTGTCAACTCTGAAGAAACGACGAAGGAAGCTGTAGATGTCACTCTCTACCTGTTCGTTGATGTTTACGCATACGAACCAAGTCAGCGGATTGATGATGCGCTTTCGCAGCGTTCCCTCAGCTAAATGCATGCGCGCAATCGCGGAAATGGTTCTACGTGTGATTTGCCTTGTGTGTTATTAAAGAAAACGCGAGGAGCCCGACCACGGTGTAACGTGTCGCCGTTGGCTGGGTGCCAAAGTATGTTGACCTTGAGCGTTACGTGGCCGTACCATGGACGGGCGTGTAACAGTTGGCCTAAAAAACTAGTTGCAACGCCCCTTTTCCAGCTACCGAACAATAATCAATAATTCTGCGACTGGCAATTCACAAAATGTCTTCCAGGCTCAGGAATGTTGTTTTCAGCGTTACTATAGCGGTGACGGTGACTGTGGTAAGGAGAGCCAGGCGGGGGGGGCTCTTTACTGCCGAATAATCGATCAGATATGTAATAAAAGCTGATCTATAAAGTAATAACCCCACAGTGACCTATTATGTAAGAAAAATCGGCCGATAATGTAACGACCCCTAAACCAACCGATAATGTTCTAACAAGGAGGCTTATAAAGTAATAACTATATTTCCAAATAGGTCACTTGGGAGACTTTTGTGATAAATATTTCAACATTAGGGAGACATCGGTCATTAGGGAGACATTTCAATGTCTCCCTAATGCTCCAACTACCAAAAGGAGGAACATTGTTATGTTCCACATTTTGAGAGATGATAGATTAGGGTCTGAAAGGAAAACATGCAAAGTTTGGTTAAGATGGGATTAGGGAATATCGAATTATGGGAAGGTTAAGTTTGAAAAATTTTGCGCACGTTCCTATGGGAATGTCTCCCAAGTGACCCATTTTCGGTAATTGTTATAATTGCGAGTATTTTCCAGCGTTTGAGGGAGTTTTTATTCGAGAATTTCATAGATCGGACCCAGTGCTTTTTAGGTTATCGGCATTCTGTTTTTTCCTGATTATAATTCTGTAAAGTCTCTTATACATTCAAGATCGTATAATGTCTCGACTTCAAACTTAATATGAACTTCATTCCTTAGCCCACTGGTGTGCATACTACTCTGACGTCATGATAACGTCATCATATTTTTTCTTCATTATTTTTTCATTATTTTTCTTTCAGATGGAAAGCAAGTGCACATGTTGGTAGGGATGTTTATAGTTGAAAATGGTATATTGATGTGTTTACGTGTTTGTGTTAAGTGACAAGATCTCACAAATGCGATCCGTTGTCTAGAGCTAGGTCTAGGTCTTCACTCCATTGAGAGTACGTGAAGATGCGCAGACAATAGACCTAGCCGTAGCTCTGGAAGCCTGTCCCGGACACGGCCGGAGAGGAGCTAGGGTTGCACTACACAGAGAACAGTGCAAAATCGGACCGAAATAGCGCCGCCTGTTGACTCTCGTGAAGAGGTTGGCCTCCGTGTTTTTTTTTACTGGAAATTCAAAATTTTGGCCAGAAGATCACTTTTCGGTCCAACTTCATGGGGGTTAGCCACGAAAAAAAAATTTATTCGCCTTTCAAGGAAGATACCCCCCAAAAGCAATAAAACTGGAAACTATCAGTCGCAAATTTGGGACTTATAGAAAGATTTCTATGATGCCTCCTGATTATGGCATATCTTATTGTAAAAACCCCGTGGGATCACAAAATATTAATGAGCTCGCGCGCAGAAATACAACCATTTGGTGGAATGCACCCTTAGGTGCCCATGGCCACGGCATGGGATACACAGAGATACATGCGGTTAGGGGGGCAACCCTCGCAAATAACTTTTTTATCGGCCAGAAGTGTGCCCGCTGAGCTCATTAATAAAAGTTATACACTCCAAATATTCTATATTTTAGAGAGTCCTGAGAGCCATGGAAATGTGGAATTGAAGAAATATGGCACTGAAGCTCTGGCCCGGACTCAGGGCTCCCAATTCTGAGTAATTTGGATGCAGTCGGGTCCGAAAGTAGCCGTTTTGCGGAGGGATGCATTTTCAAAATTGCCACTTTTCTGGGCAGTGAAATTTCCTTCAATTTAGGGGTAGTCTGCTGTGAGTGAGAATGTCAAACATTGCTGTCCAGCCTGGACACCTGTGACAGTTATGAGTATTTTAAAAATAATTTTGAAATAAAAGAATTTATATCATTGGTGTCTGTGAATTTATTTTTAAGGGTACACCCTTAGACGTATGAAGCATGCATGCCTCGAATCACATTGGGAATCAACGCAAAACAGCGCCATCTGGAGGCTCAAGTAATTCGTTATTTCGAAGTAGTAATTCGTTATTTCAAATTAGTAGTTCGTTATTTCGAATTAGTAATTCGTTATTTCGAATAGTGTTTCGTTAAAACGAATTAGTGTCAGGCTGAAAATTTATACTTCATTGGCACAATTGCTTTCGTAGAATTACCCCTTTAACTGCAGTGAAAGCTAAACAACGGACTCCAACCAAGAAGGGCCTCCATATTCCCCCCTACACTCCCCACTCTGTCTCGTCCGTAGGCCTACCCGTAATGCATCGGATGTACTTATGTTATACTTACGACCCTTTCCCATGAACAATGTTGGTGCAAGAGTTTGAAAATGACAGAAAATGAGCTACGTTCTTGTCAGTATGTAAACACTTGCAGACGTCACAAAAAACTTCACAGTTGTGTTTCGCCGCCCACGAATTTTTTTCTGGCATGTGGCTCTTATGCCCTTCCGTACTGTAAGTACATGGCAATATAAACCAAAGAGCAAATCTCAGAAATATATGTTTCAGTGAGCAAATCTTCACAGTTTGAACGGGAAAATCTGGCATGCGCTAATCTGAGTACAATCTGCTTGTATATAGAGCCCACGGCTGCTCCAAAACATTCAAGAGCGTGTTCCCTAAACTAGGTGCGCGCCGCATCACATGATAGCAAAAACAGTCGCCTTGGCAACATATTTACATCGTTCACTGACAGTCTCTTTGAACTTAGTTCAAGTTATCATACTTAACTTGTTTGTGGTGTATACAAACGGTTCACAAAAGTCCTCATTCGACTGTTTGAGTTACGCTATCGGTTCTCAAGAATATCGAATTGCGGCATAATTGTTTGTTACCTTGTAAAAAGATGAAGACGGCTATTCTAGTCCTCTGGGGGTTTTCGATTTACGTAATGATACTCTGCAACGAAGGAGCATGCCCAAGTCAGTGGGTTCGATATAGGGTCGGGGCATCTTCTCCTGGAGAGGTGAATGCCTTGGGAAGCCACGTCGGAGATCTGCGTCGAGATAGACGGTGCCTTAGACGTGCCAGAGTCCCTGGAGGAGCAGGAGTTCATCTCGGAGAAATTCAAGATGAACACCGACGAAGGGGATCTTTGGATCGGCTATAACGACATAAAGGAGGAAGGCAAATACGTGCAGGCGGGTGAGGGGGCCAGGAGTGTAACTACACCAACTGGGCACCGAGAGAACCTTCTGATGGAGGTGCAGGTGGCTACAGTCAAAAATGCGTCCAGTTGTAGCGTTCCTCCCGTGGTCGCTGGGATGACAATTGGTGTAGCAGCAGTCAGTCCGTGATTTGCGGGAAAGTCTTACTGCCCTGGCCATCCCTACCATGTCCTGCCTTCAGGTGTATACCGACTGCCATTCGTCATCCTACTGCCTGACCGGTCACGTCATCAAGGAGTTCTCGGCTAAGGGTGTCATCGCGTGTGGCTTGGCGTGCCGTAACGAATCTGCCTGTCGCTCCTTCAATCTGCGACGGAACCGCAGTAGAGAGATCATTTGCCAGTTGAATAACACTACTCGTAATGAAGCTGATGCCAAGAACATGCGACTTGATAACGGCTGCAAATATTTCAGTTTTTAAATATCTTAAATAAACAAACCGCTAAAAATCTCGTTTATTAGAGAAAATTTACTATTCGAAAAGTAAAGAAAAAACGGTGTTTTCTGTCGGTAACATGTTGTTAAGTGTCAGGAGACTTCATTTTTCAAGGTAAACTCACACTACATTTCTGGTTTTCGACCAGTGTTTGCATTTCCTCTCTTTTTACTCTGCCAGTCTAAACGATGTCCAATATCAAAAGATCAACATTAATGAACATTACAATGCATGAGCATTCCATCTACAGTCTAAAGGTGTGACTTCGGTTTTCTAGATTAGTCGCGCGTGCACAGGGAAAATTTTTACAATGTCGAATCGTAGTTTTACCACTTCGTGCCCGGCATACTGGACTTCAAGGTGTAAGTTGGTCAGGTTGGAAAAGCCTTTCCCTCAGCCGCAGAGTATCTCGAAGTGAACGCTTTGTTTCACAGATGCACGTTATGTTCGTATAAAATTCTTAGGTAACGTTGTTATCAATGAAATTTTTCCGAGAGAATGAACACCATTAAGAGTATATCGGTTGAGATTGTGTGCTCCTGAGGCTGTAGTCCACTAATTCAAGCCCCAGTGTAAAATCGGAATTGTTCAGGGCCAAATAACATGCGTACCAACATCCCTGAAGTATCTGGAACACATGTTAAATTATTGTATGGTCCCTAATCTGTCAATTTCTTTTCAATTTCTGTGGGTTAACCGATTACATTTTGAGTTATTCCCACAAAACAAAATCCCCCCCGGTAAGTGATTTTTCCGAAGTCTGCTTGCAGCCATTTTTCACGTGGCAACCTTCAACTTTCTCGGACACTTTTTAGCCATTCTGCGCTCAGATGAAAGACCAAGGCAGTTGATTCTGGCAAAGAATTACATAATCTCACCATTTTGGGGGGCCAAACAATGCCCTTTTTCAAAAGATGCTGGGGGGTACTTTTAATGCTAATGAGCTGACCAGAAATTTCCACTTCTCAAAATGATAACATCCTTCCATGATAGCATGAAGGGCTCAGTCTGATGTGAGGAAGACACCTCAGAGTCGTTCCCAACCCGCAGTGGAGTGAAGCAGGGCACTGTACTTGCACGGACCCTCTTTGGAATATTCTCCCTGCTGACCTACGCATTTGGGTCATCCACTGAAGGCGTCTACCTGCACACCAGAGCTGATGGTAAGCTTTTCGATCTTGCTCGCTTGAGGGCCAAGATCAAAGTTCCAAGAGTCCTCCTGACAGAAATGCTCTTTGCAGACGATGCTGTGCTAGCACCCCATTCTGAGTGACGGCTTCAGCAGCTGGTGAATAGGCTTTCCCATGCCTGCAAGGAGTTTGCTCTCACGATCAGCATGAAGAAGAGGCAGAGGACGAAACAGTGGGCGGCAACCTATGCCTTCACGCCAGGTCCGACCCCTTAGATCAGTGCAAGCTGCGATAGAGAGTGTTTACTTCTCTGAAACCTTATATACGTCATTATATCATTATAAGACGTTTCTAAAAACTTTAGGCCGTGTCCGAAACAGGCTTCCAGAGTGTATTTCCAATGGGGTGAAGTACAGTTATTTGAGGGTAATTAAGAAAATCTATATCAAGACAGGGGCTATGGGACTATGGCAGGATGGGGTAGTGCGAGACTTTGAAGCTAGAGCTGTGTATAAATCGAGACTTCTGTATATACGAGGAGACCTGTGATCTGCTAGCGACAAGTCTGTATACTAAACAAAGTGTTAAGTTTCATTGTTTAAATTTGTTTGTTCAGAATGGATTAAACTTTGGACCCAGTGACTGCATTAAACACCAAAACGTTTTACAACAAAATACGGCTGAGACGCATCTATATAGTAAACCTGACTCCAAAATGCTTAGATTTCTAACCCTGGACATGAATTTGATCAACGCTTTGATGGTTTTTCTCCGAATTTAGTAAATCTTAGTCTGTACGGGCGATTCACAAAAAAGTGCAGTGCGCCACCAAAAGCTTGTCACAGAGAGGCCTTTTCGTAGTGCATTATGGGACAAAAATTCGACAAAGTCTCATTCGTTAACTGCGATGTGCGCGGGGAAGTTCAATTTTTTCCGGACACATGTATCTGTTTATCTTGGTTGAAAATTTAGCATCTGTTATTACAAATGGGTGTTAAGCAGTCAAACTGATGGTTTTCTGTGGTGCAGGGAAAGACTCAATCAATCAAATGTACCCAAGTTGTGTACCAAAGAGCGCTCAATCGCGGCAGCGTATCGGCCGTAAAATTGAAAAGTGGCTTGTCTGCAGCAAAATCTTGTTGACGCACTAAATTGTGAACTCCCCGTATTATTTGGGGGTAAGCAGTCTGTTATTACATGTGAATGCTTCGTTGGTAGACGCATGCACTATGGTGTACTATTTACGACACACCTCACCGCCTCTTCCACGAACAACGCAGCTCCATGACGCGACGACACGACAGCTCCCTGGCACTTGACGTCGTGTTGATCTGTCGCCCTGTTGCCATTACTTTTGTGCACACACAGTGCGTCGTGTCGTGTGTGTACAACAGTAATAACAAAGAAACTACGACACAAGGGAGCTGTCAAGCTGTCGCGTCCTTTAGTTTCGTCGCTTGTAGAAGAGGCAACGGGGTGTGTCGTAAATACAGTCATTTGCAAAAGTTAAAGACCACCTGGAATTTTATTGGTATTTCTGTCACTGGGCCTGCATTACATTGTCTCATTGAATGATTACTTCACATGATTGCACAGTGGTGCATAACATCTGTGTAGTGCTATATACCTATTTGAATGACATTATTTGCAAAGGCAGGTCTTGTATGACATTTTGTCTGTAGGGCAGCATGGGTTAAAAAAAGCCAGTCTAAGGAATCAGAAATAAAGGAGGGAACAGTGAATATTAGACTGTTAAGGTTTCAAATCATGGAAATGTAGTAAAAAATGTTCAAAAAAGGTACTAAGGTTACACATTGAAAATAAACACAAGTTGCCATGATTGATTAGTTTGAGTTTGGTTTTCCTTCAGGCTAATGCATTTTCTACGGGTGGTCCTAAACTTTTGCAAATGACTGTAGTACACCATAGTACCTGTCGTTGCCTCTGTAATGGGGGGGGGGTTAAAATGAAGTTTCAATAATAACTAAAAATACTAATGAACTCAGTAATGGAATGACAAATTTCACATCTGCGTGGACTTGTCCATGTGCATAATTTTGAGATACAAAGCATTATATCTACGGTGATTTAAAAAGAAAGGGATACCTTGATATTTTGATGCAACAAAACATTGCTAAATTGTAATTATACTTCTAGGCCAAATGTAGCGCATTTGGTAAAAAGTGAAAATAAGGTATAAGGTACAGGTCCAACCACATTTTTAATGGCAGCCATGTCTCTTAAAGGACGATGGCATGCAATGCCTCAACATCTTTTCCTTATCGATATACGTTAGAATTTTCTTGCCTTAATATGCATGGATATGAATGAAAGTTCGGCTGCATCCGAATCACTTGGCTACGGCTAGAAATTACACACGAATCTATGGTTGTGGCCGCAGGCAGTTCCCATAATAGAGTCATGTGCAATTTCAAGCCACAGCCAAGTGATTCGGACGCGGCCTTCCACTTTGCTCCCAACGACCCTGAATGTCGACGCGACACGCAGAGTGGCACATTTTCCGTGTCAGATTTCGTGAGGCAACAGTCCCACTGAATGTGACCGCAGCAGATGCACACCTCTCGCTCCCTGGATAACAAGAAGTAGAAAAAACCATGGCGGAAATGAAGTCAAACAACATACTTTCCGAGGACTTCAAAGATATCATCAATCATGGTAAAAATATTTGGAGAAGGAAACCATCTATGAGGGATTTGCTACTGTGGCTTGTCATAGTGGGTATGACGTACCTAATGCTTGCGTTTTTCATCACTGGCCGTGTAAAGGTGAGAACATTCTAGCGAAATTTAAGGCGTTCTTTTATTTTAATTATTATTTATTGGTGTACAAAAACAAAGAACGGCAAACAGCAAATAGCTGAAAGGTTGAAAGAAATTTACACATTGAAAATAATAAAATAAAGATTTCAAAAGGGGTTTTAAAAATTACAGATGAGTAAACTTGCTGAATACAAGGCCTTAAGAGGGGTTAAACTAGATTTTAAAAATAGAAACCGTGGTAACAATCAAAATAAGAACTAAAATCAAAATAAAAATGTTTTACAATACACAAAACATTTTAGCTGCCAATGGAGGCAATTTTGGACAGTTATATCAAGATGACGATCTCCGGCGGAGTCCTCGGATACCTGTGTGTTTTTTCAACTAAATAATTAAACTCTTGGCTTCAGAGTTTACATAATTTGGGGGGAATCGTTCTTGTACGCGAGTTTGACTCTCAGAATTCGACGAATACCAAATATAGACTGAACGTTGACGTTCATAATTGACGCGTTCCTGTGCATTACCAGCACACTCTCCACAGTGTGGTCTAGAATCGGTGCTTTAAATAGGACAACCCCTCTGGCTCGGGATTTGTGTTCAGCGTGTATTAGTCCGCCAACTTTCAACCAATCATATCAAGTTGCTGCGAGCTCAAGCCGGTAGAGTATATTTCATTTTGCTGTTGCAAACTGCAAGGCGGGGGGGGTCACAGATATCGGACTATAGAGAGCTCTGTAGTCTGACCATGATGAAGAAGTGGCTGTGGGCGTTGTATCCCACGGATTGAAGACCGGCCGGCTAAAGTCAAAAGCTTATTTCATTTTCTCAGTGAGTTGACATTAATTTTGCACAAACCTATAGGACCAAACCTTCCTCTATAGTGCCTAGACTCAACATACAAAGTTCTGGAATGGTGTTTAGTATGTGGCCGTTTGGTCACACGCTTATTACTTGTTAGAGGTTAAGTTAAATTTCAATTGCAGCAGCTCGATTTTCCCAATGACAGACATTAATAATTAATGTTGACGAGATAACCTCTTATCTCTAATGATTTAAAACATTCTCCTAATGTCAAACCGCGCTGTAAAAAAAATGGCGTCCACATTTTGCAGATGTTATTCACACAAATAATCTCTCCATTTTGCGGATACCACTTACCAGTATTATATTTCATAGAACACAACAAATTGCTTGCCGAGGAAATGAATCGTGACGACTTTGAATCAGTTTTCATTGTCTCCAGTTAATCTATCACAACAGCTTTGAATCAGTTTTCATTGTCTCCAGGTAATCTATCACAACAGTCTGTCCTTCCATTGAGTTGGATCGATATGATACATAACCAGAAAATCGATGCACACATAAATGTTCCAAAAAAATGTGGGAAAAGCAGACATTGATTTTTACATGCCCGCTCACGCCCATCATTAAGCGTGTTTGGAACAGGTGCCATAGGGAAGAAAGAGAGCAGGAACTCTGTAAACCACAGTTCGTGGCAAATTGAAGTTCATGCCCGTAACATGTAAATGGTTGATACAAGATGTAAACAGTTTTGAATTTAAAAAAAGGAAAGACATTGCACCACCACCAGATGATTTTACTGCGTAAAGTGCAACAGTTTGGACACTCAAGGGCAATATGATGCTTGGTTTGCATATTAGTCTCTTTTTATGATTTTGCGGCGGATCGTTGTAAAAGTGGACGTTGGTATTTGGGCTGTTAGACAACTAACCATGAATAAACATCTAGATAAGTTTATTAATTCAGCCATCTTCTTGAACTATAAAAAATACACTGTTAGGTAAGCAAGGCCGGATATGATTGTTCTGCCCTGTGTAGGACCATTTGCAAAAAGTTCAACTTCTTCAAAACTACTACTGTAGAGAATCATTCACACTTGACGTGGTTTCATTGCATTTGCGTTCCCGCTGTCCGCCTTGAGTAGAAGCACCCCCTCATTGGTTGAAAAGAGCCATATCGGTCGGAGGTGTGCATTTCGTTGGTATAGCGACGCGACAGTAATGCGTGCATTTCCTAGTCGTTCGTGAACCAGCGAATGTCAGTTCCGACCAAAAGAGCATCCGTTGCTCTAGAAAACAGCTGTTAAGGTTCTTGTTTATCAACTACAAACCACAAGCGCTGTGTTTAATGAACGATTTTAAGAGTGGAGTCCATACCACTTTTCTCTCATTCCATGCGATGAGAAGGGAAATAAATAGTTGTTGCTAAATCAAGATTAAGTATCCAAAGCACGTTCTTTCATTTTCAAAGCTTTTTACTAACCACGCACAAAAGCCTTCGTTGAAAACCACGGATGAGACAGAGCTTATCAGAAAATGTTGGGGAAGGGAGTTACCACTAAAAGACCCCCTCCCCTTCCCCGGTCAAAGAGTGCATGGGGAGATCAGGCATTTAAAAACAATTTGTCTCTTTCATTCCAGTTGTCGCATCCGAAACCATCTCAAAGAAAGTTCTCCGCACGTATGCGTGACGAACGAAATATCGACTCCAATGCCCCCGCTAAACTGCCGATTGTTACTTCCCCAGCAACAACTTCAAATCCAACGGTCGCCCGAAAATCCTTTTTCTACATCCAGTACCCTAAGGCAAGTTACAACGTATGTGATCGGCTGGCGATATACATCGAAGTGAGAGACGGTAACAACAAGACGAAGACTAGAGGAGGTGATTTTATGTGGCCATACCTGCAAACAGTCTCACTACGCGCTAGTACCCCGGCAGACAAGGTGATCGACCATGGTAATGGCTCATACACCGCCCTCTTCACGCTTCACTGGGCGGGGGAAATCGAGCCATTTGTACGGTTAGTCCTCAGCTCCGAGGAGGCTTATTTCGTACGCAGCATCAGGGACCGAATACCTTATAGGTTTGCCTACGACGCTAAGTTCACCGACGGCAAAACCAGCGAAGTGACACCGTGCCACATTACAAAAGATATGTACGTCGATAAAGCAGCGAAAGGGTTGTTATTCGTGAAGAAAGCGGAAGTGTGTGATTTTTCAGATCCTAGGACAGGTTCAACTTGGTATTGCCTCAAGCCAAAATCTCTCTCCTGTTCCCATCGCAGTAATCATCGAGGGAGCCCAGAAAGGGGAAACAGCTACCTTCAACAAGCGTTGCTTCACAAAAAAGTATCGTTAGCCAAGTGAGTATAGGCTATCTACTGATAGCCAACTTACCATGACAGGATTAGTTAAATATCACATAGAGCTCACAGCCCGCCATCGACCCGATTGAACTCAAGGGAGAAAGTTCACAGAGTGGAAATCAGTCACATAACCTGTATATTGCACATAAAAAGAGCGCACTTACTCTTGGCAAGAGTTGATTATCCGACCAACCTTTTGCTTTGATTGTTTTTTGATCAGTTTATCTGTTTGTTTTATATTTCGCTTGTTTTTCTTCCAGGCCAGAGATGTTGAAGAACACTGGCAACGTAAGAACGGTCAAAGTGATGTCTAAAGGTATTTTTAACATTATAATTTTGTAGATAAAGTGGCTCTGACGGGATATCTAAGACATCGCACATTTCACGCCAACGCATGCGCCCTCTGACTTGTCTTGCATGACATGTCGTGTAAGACTCGTTGCTTCTCAGTTACTGCGATGTTTCCAGCAGCTTCAGAAATCAGAGTCCCCTATGATAATACGCGCCTCCAAACAAGAGATTATTGCCAATGCTTAGATATTTCTTATTTTGTAACTGTGACTATATTTCAGTGGGCATTTGTTTTTCTTTTCAGTATCACCGAGCCCTCTAGAACCCCAAGAATGAATGCAAATGAATTTCAACATCAAATATCTGTGGTACTTTCATTTTGACAAGCTATAAAGTCGCTTTGAAATCACGTTGTGCTCTGTTCTAAAAATGCATCATCACAGGAGTTAAGTTCAACGGTGAAATCGTACAGTACCATCATTCATTTTGACCTTGTGGCAATTCTTCCATTTTAACAGGAGTTTTACGAAATAATGGTTTCTTTTCTGTCGTGTGGTTTTTAAACCGTTGTAGTTTCCTTTCCTCCAGCTTATCAACTCGTTGTTGTCCACCTGTTGTAAGCTTCAACCCTCTCCCTACTCTAAGTCCCCATTCTCTCCTCCCCATCCACCTTTTCCCCTGCTCTTTAATTCCTTCCTTTTCAAGTTGTTCACTACAGTATAGTCTCTATTCCATTAGAATTTGTCATGATCGTACAATGACATTTAATAACTTTTTCAGTTTGAAGTATGTTTCACAGAATACACAATATTTAATCTGTATTTTTAATGTTTTACTGATTTCAACGACGAAGAATGTGAAATCATGTTTTACGATTTACAAGATGAGAATAAATAAAGTAATTTAATTGAAATGTTTATCTGGTAGAAATCCCATAGAAACCTCAAGGGTTGCAATGGCAGCTCCATCGAAAACTGCTAGGATTTCACAACAAATTAAAACCAGGTCCTCAACGTTTGGTACTTTTCAGTGAGTGACTCTGCTTGTCTGGATTTACCACATTGCAATCCTGGTCTTCCACCCAAGCGAGCCGACCACTCCGCCGGATATTACTTCAAAGATTTATGGAAGTCAAAGGTTTGCCTTGCCAGTGAACTCCAATTGAAGGAAACTATCGAGTGCCTTCGAAATAAGCATTTGTTTTTCATCGGTGACTCCACCATAAGACAGTGGTTCTGGTATCTTGTCTCACACACTGGACAAACCATGAAGGAGCATATTACATCGACTGAAGCGGGAGTCAGGCGAGTGTATGGACACGCTTTTGACAACGCCCACAACATTACGCTGGATTTTCGATTTCATGACTACCCACTTATTGGTGACTGGATTAGTACAAGTGTTATCTACTCTGCAGTTGACTTGATTGACAGTCTGCCAGGCGGGAGGGACACAGTGCTAGGATTTACCATGTGTGCTCACTTTACATTCACGAATCTGACCTATTATTTATCTCGATTGGAACCCATTAGAGATGCCATTGTACGACTTCAGACGAGAGGCACTGGAAAAGCTACCGTTATTATCAAGTCGGCGAACACTGGCACTCTACAGGTAACACCTGTGAACACCGAACTGCTCTGTTACGATCTTGATCTAACGATGAGGGCGTTTTTCAGGGAAGTTCCTAACGTCACCATTATTGACGTTTGGGACATGACTCTAAGCCACAGAGGTGGATATAACATACATCCCAGTAAATTGGTCGTCGGAGAAGAAGTCAACTTGTTCCTGAACTTTGTTTGCAGCAAGAGAGCCTAAAAGTTGACCCCTTGTGGCAGGCTTCCTGAACTCTTGGATAGGAAAAATAACATAAGTGTCCATGTGTGTGTATAGCACACTTTGACCTTTGGGTAAGAAATAGCTAAAGGTCATGTATGATTTATGAATATTGTTACGATCCGAAAAACTCAGAACTATTTAATTATTGAGAAACTTGAATATTCTCCGATGCAACAAAGAAATCAAACAAGTTCACACTGATATGAGGAACAAATAAACAAATATGATTAGGCCTAAATGAGAACGTTACACTTAGAAAATAGTAACAAACAAAATGTTGTTTGGAACTAGTTTACATTGATAAGGAATATCTCATATAAACAGGATGTTTTATCGGGCGAGAACTTGGCAAGGCACTACCGGTGAAGAATGCTGGACTCCACAGATGGCGAAAAAGAGTTCAGTTCTTGACGGTGCAAAAATGAGCTGCAACGGGGACGAAGACCGCGTCCAATAAGAATGACCAGGCTCGACACGAAACGGTGAGGGCGTGCTGCCCGTTGCAAATACGAGACCTGATGTTAACACATTTAAACTGGAACTGGATTCACTTCAAAAACTGTTTTTTCCGGATCAAAATTCAGGTCTGTACTTCACTTGGTCTGGCCGAACCTTTCTTACAAGTGTTGCTCCACAATTCTTCATGATGACACCGCAGAGGAAGGACGCCTCTGCACTGAGCTCCGGGTTTTCTGTGTGTTCCCTCCACGGTGTGTAGCTAACGATACCCAAAGCTACGAGGCAGTAAAAGGATGGACACTGCTGCGGGTGTTGTTCCTCATGCACTCCGTAGATTCGGGAGAGTGAAAAATGATAAAACTAATGCCGTGTGGATCGGTGGTAACAAGGGGCGTCAGAAACGTCCCAGAGGACAGTTTTAGAGCCTTGGTTATTGATTTCATAGTCAATCTTGATGAAATAAAGTGTTAGATGCTACTGCCACTTTAGTATATCACTGATCCAAGAGAAACCTTACGGTTATGGGTCGAGTCACAATAGTTAAGTCTCTTATTTTATCTTTACTTTTTTGATCTTGTCTTTTCCAGACCCAGCCCCAGACATAATTAGGAATCTAAATGTTATGCTGTATAAATTTATTTGGAGGGGGTCGATAGAATCGCAAGGAATCAGATGATTCAAGACTATAAGCATGGTAGTGTAAAGATGGTTGATTTAAGTTTATCTATAAAAGCTTTAAAGTGTACATGGATTCGTAGATTCGTGGATATTTTTGTTTCATAAGATGAGTGATATCCAGAATGTTCTGTCTATTGAAGGCGGCCATCTTGGCGTTACTCGCCTTTTTTCAGCGAGCCAGGTAGGCAAACTGTTTTTGGATTGATGTTTTAAAAGCTTGGAGTTTTTTTACTCGGTGTCGTATTTCTTCTCAAGCGAATGAAGTACTTGTCTAGGTTTTGTGGTATAACCATAATATTATGATGTATATTTTATTAACACTGGGCTAACAAAGGAGTTAATTTTGAAGGCGATCGTTTAGACAGTGAGGGTCATTTTTTAATCTTAGACGATTTTATCAGAAAATTTGACGTCAAGACAAATTGTTTGGAGTATGGGGGAGATATCAATACAGTTAAAAAATTTTTCGTCGCACACTGTCACACGTCAACTGCAATGTATGCTTTCCTTTTATTCCTTTTAATTTTAGGTCACTTCTGTTGGATGAAAAAAGGCTCTACTCGTGTCTACCGTATTCTGACCTCTGCAACGAAGGTTGTTCATAGGTTTACTGATAGATGGGAAACGAAATCGGTTTGTAACCTTCCTCGCACGGAATGGTTGAATTTATGTAGCCTACCTTTCTTTTAACGTGTGATACTAAACTGCGGTGGTTTCAATATAGACTAACTCAAAGAATATTGGCTGTAGATTGGTATTTGCTGAAAAAGGGAAAAGGGACGATTTGTGTTCTTTTTGTCAAGTTGAAAGTGAAACTTTGTTACATCTCCTTTGCACTTGCCAGGTCTCCACTTTGTTTTGGAACCTTATTAGTGATTGGTTGAAAAATATGTTGAAAATTCAGATGCAATTGGATAACCAAACTATCCTTTTCGCAACTACTTATAATTCCAGGAGTGTACTAAATTTAATTCTTTTGCTTGGCCGCTTTCATATCTACAAAATGAAAATGAATGGAGGCTTACCTTCGTTTGTACTGTTTAGAGACGATTTAAAAAGATATTATGCTTATGAAAAATTATGAAAAAAATTTTTTACCACCAATGGTAAAATGGACACTTTCTCCTTGCTATTTAATTACCTATTACAAATTGACTGCTTGTATGTTTCTTTTCTTGATTTTATGTGACATGCAAGAGAAATATTAATAAAGGCCCTGAGTGGGAAAAAAGTGTCGCTCCACAGACGACTCGCTACCACAGGTTGAAATGGTGCAGAACTCAACAAGTGAGAGACTTCTCACAGCCTGCATACGGTAGAATTGACTGCTTGTATGTTCATTGGCTGGGTTTAAAGAATGACGAATTCTGGGCTTCCACTTATTATGAGAGAGCAGTCCCTACATATGCCAATTTTCCTTTTGCTCTTAATAAAATATGACAGAAGTTAATCCTAATCGAGGAAAGGGTGAGATAAAAACAAGAACAAATCAACACCAAAGAGTAAATAGCATGTGCTTTACAAGCACGGGGACAGAAATGAAAGAAAACAGTAAAGGCGCCCTCTATAAACACCATGAAGCAAAGGGCGACAGCACACGACACGTCGCGTCGTGTCTAGTCGTGCGTCGCGTCGTACTTCAGGCGACGTAATAGGCGATGCGCAATACTATCGTGTATGGTGTACTATTTACGACAAACATTTGAGACTTTGAGAGTGTGAGTGTATTATAACCAAACGTCTGGTGAATCAAGACAAACTGTCTAAAGTTCGTCCGCTACTTAACATTGTAGTTCTGTTGTTTCGTAGTATCTATAAGCCCGGACGAAACCTCTCAGCGGATGAGACTATGATATATAGGCCTAATTGGTTTTAAACAGTACATACCACGCAAGTCAGCCAAGTATGGCTTGAAATGTTTTTCCTTGAACGAGTCTCAAACCGGTTAGGCCTACACATGTGACTAGAAGGTGTTTACTGGATCCAAGGCTCCATCAGACCAAATCATCTCGCACTCTGTTGCGCACGCTGAAACCATCCACCCAACCTTTTAGTATCAGGCCAAGTTGTCGTCGACCTACCGAAAGGGCTGGAAAACAAGGGACATGTTGTTTTCATAGACAATTGGTACACTAGCCCCGCTCTTGTGCACAAATTGTCCCAGCTAGGGTTTGGGCTCGTGGAACTGTGTGCTATACCACACAAGGCATTCCAGACAGTGCAAACCCTAAGAAGGTCCCCGACAGATCCACCCCAGTTTTTTTTCTCTAAAGAGGGGCAACTATGTGTTGTTTGGCAGGATGCCCAAAACGTGTAGCAGTTCTGACTAATTATGGCGACTGCAAAAGTGACCCTTTCAGACATTCGTTGCAAAAAAAAAAAGTTCCACTGGATGTTGTACAATCCAAAGACCTGCCGTCGTGAACGATTATAAGTACATGGGCGGAAGTGACTTATTATCACAAATGTGTCAGTACTACACGCACGATCATAGATCCCTGACATGGTGGAAACGCGTTTCCTTTACAATTCTTGACATCTGTTTGGTTAGTGCTACCATCGTGTACAACAGCATCCCCACAAAGCGTCCGCGCACTAGCTTGGATTTCCGGGTCCAGGTCATCAATGCACGGTTGTCCGCCTGCAAGACGAAAAAATCAACACCACCTGCCCCTGAAACTGCACTCCTTTAAAGTGGACATTATCCCGGAAGAAGTAGGCAAAGCCAAAAATGAAAATGTGTTGTTTGCAGTAGGCCTAGGAGAACCCAACGTAAACAGACTCGTGTGATTTTAAGAATTGCCAGAAACCAGTGTGTCTAATGCCATGCTTCGAAACATTTCACGGTATGCGTTAATTAACAAAGACTCGGGTAGTTTAGACAGCTTTTTCCGTGTATGTTGCTTAGTAGCTTTGGGCATGCTGCGTTAGTTCTTCTACCATCTATACTATACGATTGGACAATATTTTAAAAGCTGTCAGTTCAAACATGGTTCAAGGCTCTGTATGCCCATGGTGGCACCGTACGGAGAGCGAATACCATGTACTGGGTGCATGCAGTCCACTATTCAAGTGAGATTTTCTGGTCAGCTCATTAACATTGAAAGTGCCCCCACAGCATCTTATGAAAAAAAGGAGATTGTTTGGCCCCCAAAATGGTGAGACTGTGTAAATCGTTGCCAGGATCAACTCCCTGGGTCTTTGAGCTTTCATATGAGAGCAGAAGGGCTCAAAACTACAGTTGAAAAATGGTCCTAAGTGCCTAAGAAAGTTGAGGGTTGCCACTTGAAAAAGGGCTGCAATCAGACTTCAGAAAAATCACTTTTCGGGGGGTAAATTTTGTTTCGTAATTGGCTAACCCACAAAAAATTGAGAAGATATTGAAAGATTAGGGATATGCAAGTACGGGGGGCGGACGGAAGTGAAGAAAACAGTAAAGGCGCCCTCTATAAACACCATGAAGCAAAGGGCAACAGCACACGACGCGTCACGTCGTGCGTCGCGTCGTGCTTCAGGCGACGACGGCAGATATGAAATTCCTTAGAATACGGACTCAAAACCTTCTGTGTTACATCGGAAGCTGCTGCTGCAGGCATACCCGCCATGTTGGGTGCGGTGTCGGCGCTTGTGGGTTTATTGATGGAAGGTCTCGCCATCGGTGCGTTTGGTGCGCAAGTTTATGCTTTAATAAAATACACCGGTAAAATATTCGAGTATTGGCCAACACTAAACAAACACAATCGATGAATATATATCCCAGGCCATTAACAATGGCCATATTTCTCGCGAAGAATTTGCGCTAATTACCTCTGAGCTCCAAAGTTTAATGAACCCCAATAAAATAACAGATTGCGAGTATCAACAAAACTCCAAAGGGATAATAACAACCAAGAGATCGAAGACTGTGCCAAATAAATGGCAGAAAGTTTGGCGAGCTAAATGTTTCACGAGGAAAAGAAAGTCTGTTGACAGAACTTGGAAAAAACCTTGGCAAAAAACAGGAAGTTCTACAAAGTGGCCAACGGGTTTTGCAGTACGTTACCATAAGAATCAGCGATTTTTTCAGAGAAATATGGAAGGGCTGCGTGAATATAATATAATCAGTGCTTTGAAATATGTAATTGCCGAGCTTTCGGTAACTGAGTACCTTCTCCAAGGCAAGCAGATTCGGTTCTGAATGAACACAAAACCCATAGAACTTGGATTTTTCTGCGTTTATTCAAACCCTTGGGCCTGAAAGAGCGTTGGTTAATTAACTAAAGCTCGAACATTCAAGCTTTCTTTGAAGCAGCAGGATTCAGCTAGCATTAGTGCAGCCAATGATTTTCCGTTTCAATAGGGCAAAGCTAGTACCCCCTTCTCATTATTTAATTAAATGGCTGCCGCAGCCCAAAAGGGTGAGTTTGCGTCGGCTGTACAATTCAAACTTTTTCCTCATGAATAAAAATGTTGATGTAATATTTTGTGCTTTTAAGCAACACTGAACATTAACTTCATCGGTATATTATGACACCTAACTTCATCCTGCCAATGTAACGTAATTTTTCCGCCATCTTCTTTCTTGTAGGAGTCTGTAAATAGATTGAGGGTAGACAAAAAGATGGTCCTCTAATGTTGCAGTTTAGTCCACAGTAGTGTATCTCTTTCAATTCCAGAAGCTGTCCTGCTTTAACCTGGGCATGTTGTGCTCACTGAGAGTTCTTCTGATTGCTGGAGAGAGGGAGGGGAATATTTGTCGGAGCACATGATCTCAACCGACATACACTTAATGATGGCGTCCAGCTCACTGAAACTTTCACTGATAACGTTACATAAGAATTCTATTGGAATATGCATTTTTGTAGTAAAACCACGATTCGACATTGTAAAAATGTTCACTGTGCACACAAGACCGATTTCAAAACTCTGAAACTCAAATTTAGAACAGCGTTTTCGTTGAGACTCTAAGTACAAAAAGAAGAAATGTAAAAATTGTGCGAACATCGAAAATGTAGTGTGATTTTTACAATATAATCAAGCAACAGATCTTCTTGCACTTAAAACATGGTGTGTATCAATGGAATAAGTTTTGGGAAAACAAAATATATAAAAACTGCAACTGTTGTATTTTGACTTTTCCATCAGTAAATTGACTCTAAATAGACGCATTTGTTTCTTTTAGTGGTTGAATTGTTCAAAGTATTTTAGAAAGAGAAATATTTGCAACTATTGTGAAGTCGTATGTTCTTGGCGTCAGTACATTACGGGTGATGTTATTCAACTGGCAGATAATCTCTCCATTGCGGTTCCATCACAGATTGAAGGAGTGACGGACTGGCTCATCACGACACACCGAGCCGCACGCGACGATACTCTTAGCCGAGAGCTCCTTGATAACGTGACATGGTCAGGCAGTGGGATGAGGAGCGACAGTTGGTATACGCTTGGAGGTAGGACATGGTAGGGATGAGCACGGATTGATTGCACCGGAAGTCATCCCAGCAACTACTCTCGGAACACCGTAAACGAAAAGAGTTTTGACCATGTTCACCTCCATTATTGGGTTCTCCTGGTGCCCAGTTGGCGTAGTTACACAACTGCCCCCTTCACCCGCCTGCATGTTCTTGCCCTTCTCCTTCATGTCGTTACGTCCGATCCAGAGATCACCTCGGATAGCATTCATCTTGAACATCTCCAAGATAAATGCATGTTCGTCCGGGGATTCTGGAATCGCTAAGGCACCGTTTATCTTGACACAGATCTCTGATACGGCTTTCCACGGCATTTGCCTCTCTAATAAGAAATGACACGACGTGTTAAATGGAACCCACTCAGCTGAACACGCCTCACTATTGCAAACTGGTACCGCCTAAAAATTGCGACAAAGAGGAAAGAAATCACCATCCTACGTACTCTTTATCTTAAAATCGACTTCTGCAACGTTTCGGTATTCGCCCTTCTGCACTACCTATGCAGTATCTGAAGCCTCAAATAAAAGTAATTCCTATTTCTTACAACAATAAGACGTACTTTTGAGAGGTTGCTACCAAAATCAATCGATAACGAGCACAGATTACCCACGAAAAATCAATTCCGTCTTTCAGGAAGAAAGATGTTACCAAGGCAACTCTGCTTCATTTATTGGTTTTCTTAAATCAGCAGAGGCATTACAGTTCGACCATAATTTATGCTTCAGCTCCACAAAGGAGCGATATTCCCTGAGCAGAAGACCACTGTTCTCCCTTTTCCTTTA